TCCCTCCGTACTTTTTTTAATATAACTTAAGGTATCATCAAGGCAGAATGTTGTTGATATTGGGGGGAGGGGGTGGGGGGTGGCTTGACCCTACCTTGTCCATACAAAAGCTGCAGAGTACAAAGAGAGGAGGTGGGCATAAACCTGACCTCCAAAGCACTACTTACAAGATTGTTACATACAATCTTCAAAAGATAATATGGAAGAGACTTCACCATACAAAAACACTTCATTATCTCCTAGGTATAATTCAACTTACAAAAAAATTACCTTTGTCATATCTACTTCTTATGTTAGGTAATTGCCATTTGTCAAGTTGAAAAATTCCTCTCACATCTTTCGGAAGTTATTGGAAAGAGTGATAAAATATACCAGTTCCACTTGATGAAGTCAGCTTAGCAAGAAAGTCTGGCACTTGATTTACTTCTATGTAGCAGTGAGAAATTATCATATATGCCTCTTGGATGATCTTAGAAGTATCTCTAATCATTTTCCTGAGCTTAGGGTTACTAGTATCTATATTAAGGAGCATATTAGTGATGATCAAAGAGTCCATCTCCAGGATGAATCTATTGAACCTATTCTATATGAACCATTTCCTCCATATTTGGCTACAGCAGCCTCTTCTAGATTGTTGTTTATGGATTGACAGGGACTAAGAAAGCCATAATTAGATCTTGATACACGATTGTTAGAGAAAAGGAATGGAGTTTAGAAAAAGAGGCAAATAAGTTAGTTGATACAGTTAGTTAGAAATTCAAAAGGAGCATATTAGTGATGATCAAAGAGTCCATCTCCAGGATGAATCAATTGAACCCATTCTGTGTGCACCATTTCCTCCAAATTTGGCTACAGCAGCCTCTTCTAGATTGTTGTTTTTGGATTGAACAGGGACTAAGAAGGCCATGATTAGATCTTGATTCACGATTGCTAGAGAAAAGGAATGGAGTTTAGAAAAAGAGGCAAATAAGTCAGTTGACACAGTTAGTTAGGAATTCAAAAGGTAGTTAGAGTTAGTTGGAGTTAGTTAGAATAATTACCTACTGTTAGTTAGAGAATCTGTCAGCAATGTTTTAAAAGGCGTTTTCGGGCCAAGCCCTGGGCGAGGCGCACCAAAAACGCCCCGGGCCGATGGTGTGGGACAAAAGTCTCAAGAGGCGTACGCCCGGGCGTTCGGGGCGTATTTTTTTAGTGAGGCGTAAGCCCCGAAGATTTTTTCAAATTAAAATAAAATTTGTTGAATAAGTCCTCATATAATACCCAAATTCTCAAAATACAGCTTGGTCATTACTCAAAAGTTTTAAAAAGGAACTGAAATGCATTAAATTTAAAAGTTAAGACCTTTTTTTTATTGATTAATGCCCCAATTCATTGTCTTTCCCAATTCTTTATCTTGTCCGCTAGTCTGCTAATATCTCCCAAGAGCAACGAATATTCATTTTTTTTTACAAATACAAAGAGAACTCCATTCTCCTTCATAGCAGCAAGTTCAAAGTTCAAATTGCAGGTTAGTCATACTTTTTGTTCCTTCATGTAGAAAACTTTATTCTTTTCGACTTAAGTTACTTGATCTTCTAAGTAGCGTATAATGGATTGTTTTGATTAGTTTTTTGTGGGGATATATATATATATATATATATATATTATACATTATATATACTATATATATATATATTAATATAATTACCCCACTAATAAAATAATAACTATAATTAAAATGACAATTGCCCTAATTAATTACTATATAGCCTAACTAGTATATAACGGAGATTTTCTTTTCATATATTAAGTTAAATTTTTACCAGTTTATAAATATTTACTGTAATTATATTATTTTATAAAATATTAAAAATTAAATACCTATGTGGCTTACGCCCCGTGCCTCGGGGCTTATGCCTCGCTGAGGCATATGTAAAACGCCTCGACTTACGCCCACGCCTTTTAAAAC